TCCTGGCCAAATTTCTCATTGGCCTTTAGCAATTATGGCCTCCTAATAATCCCCATCTATGAGCTGGATTCATCACTTTGTTCTCCTCTCCACTGATGGCTGATGTCTGGTGAGCATACTATGTGCTCATACTGGCTGCCGTCTCATCATCAAGGTTGATATAGCACATTGGGGGATCGAAAGGGAGTCCCCATTACCTGTAAAGTGCTTTGAGTGGAGTGTCCAGAAAAGAGCAACAGTATATATATATTGTATTGAAACACTGTGTGAACCCGTATTCTAACTGACAACCTACAGTAGTGATCTCAGATTTATTTTTTCTTACTAAAGTAATAATAGATATAATTTGTAATTTGACAGCATTTGATCACTACTGCCTCCTGGGAAAGCTAAGGTTGCTGCTGGAAGAGGTGTTAGTTGGGCCAGCAGGGGGCGTTCACCCCACAGTCTATGTGGGTCTAAAAACCCTAGAATAGTGATGGGGACACTATACTGTAAAAAAGGCACCATCCCTTGGATGAGAAGTAAAACCAAGTACAGTGACTCTCAGTGGTCATTAAAAACCCCAGAGTGTTTCTTGAAAAGAGTAGGGGTATAACCCTGGCTTCCTGGCCATATTTCCCATTGGGCCTTACCAATCATGGCCTCCTAATAATCTATGAATTGGCTTCATTACTCTGATCTCCTCCCCACTGATAGCTAGAGTGTGGTGAGTGACTAGTGCACTTTGGCTGCCGTTGCATCATGCAGGTGGATGCTGCACATTGGTAGTGGTGGAGGGGACTCCTCATTGCCTGTAAAAGTGTACACAATTGCTAGGAATTATTTAATCAGTGTTTTCACAAATATAAGACAACAAATCCCTTTCTTAAAGCCTAGAGCCTCTGGGTGTCATATTACTGGGACAGGTTCTGATGTCTTGGGCTGTTGAAGGACGTGCTCTTATGGCTTCTTCTTTTTATGTTCCTTTATTATGTCTTCCCTACAGATGCTCTAAGAGGGCTGACATACTGTAATAAGATGTAACAGAGAATAATCTGGTCAATATTAAATATTAGTGAAATTGTTTGGGTCACCCAGATCTTTGGATCATTGTGACTGCTTCATGTGACAAAGCATTTAGATTTTCCCAGACATGCAAAAATGCAAAGTTTTCTGCAGTCTCCTGGCAGCTTCCTGAATTTGGGGAACAGCGACTTGTTTTACGATTAAAGCCAATATAAATATGTTAGTGTATGAGGGATATAAACGAGATAAAAAAAAATACTATATTTGATTCATGGTATGGGAGTGGAGACTGTGTCATGTGATGCAGAGGAGAACTGTTACCAATGCCCATAACCAGTTCTTCCTCACATTTCCTGCAGTGTAACATAAGACTTCTATTTAGGAAACTTTGCAGAGTGGACAAAGGGACAGTTACTAAGTAATGCTGTTAGTTTAAATAAACAATTGACAAAGAAAGCAATGAAACTAACTGTCTACTCTGAATATGCTTTATTTACAGTTACGGTGTAACCAATATCCAATTTCTTTAATGCCAGAACTCATAATATGAGTGTAAACTAATATGGAGATCCTGAATATTGGGATCCCTGAGTTCTGTTGCACTGTTTGCTGTTTAATTGTTCGCTTGTGCGCTGTCTCACTCTGGTTTGTATTTGTGTCTCATTGAAGCTGGTACCCCAGAATGGGGCAGATGGCAAGATGTTCAGTGGAAAGAGTATGAGCAGCTCCCTGTGCCAAAGATTTCCTTGTACGTTGAGGTTCTCTACAGTGACCAGGTCATGGCTTTTTAATCTATGAGAGTTGGATCAGAGCAGTCTTCAAAGCTGTCCCTTTTTTATGCCTGCACAATAGCAATCCTCCAACCCAGCTTCTGAAAATCCTTCAGGTTTCATCCAGCGGTTAAAGATCACAAAAAGTTAAACTAACTAAGCCAGCAAGTCACATTATACTGCTGTCACCAAAAGCTTGCATGACCCAATTAAAGTACATAATTTCTTGAAATAGTTATAATATTTTTACGTCAATATTTTTCCAATAATCCAGTACTCTGATACATATAATATTAGGTCACAAGACTGCTTATGAACAGTTCCTCTATAATTATAATTTGTCTATTAGAACCCTCTTCAATATACATATCCCTCTGGAAGTCTTGGGTACTTCAGTCATATACTGAACATATTACCTCAGCCTGTATTTTAAAATACAGGCTGAGTTAATATGTGATACTTCTATAGGTTAGATTTTTATTAAAATACAGTATTTATAGATTTTGGAAAGAAGTTTCTAAAACGTCAGATTTTAGAACATCAAAACTATCAGATCAGAATCAATCGGATTTTTAACACAATAAGGAAAGATTAAGGCAAACAGCACATTTTGTCTATCCAGCAAAGTCTTTTAACTAATTCCTTTTGCATTGAAAAACATAAAGATCAGAAAAGTTGGCTCGATGGTGTTTGAATGCCAACACTTGAGTTTTTATACACCTAAAACTGTGAAACTGCCTCCACTGTAACTTAATCACAGTAGTCTCCTTTGTTTTCCCATTTTCAAGTGAAGCATATTATTTACTGCACAGCTGAACACTAAAATGAAAGAAAATGCTGATAAAGTCTTTAGGTGGCAGCAGAGAGCTAAAGGAAGCCAATTTTATTACAGAAATGACATATAATTTTAATCTTATTTGCAGTGTTCAATCTATCTTTACTTAGCAAAACAATCAATGCTTCTAATATACTGCATTTGTAATGCTGTTCAATACAAATTTGACACCAACAAACAAATATGCAAATAAAATTGATAACTGATTTCCAATAAATGAGTTACAGTATTAGTTTTTCTTCCAGTACTTACTGAGACAGGATTAACTCAGTTAAGGAGAATTAGCTAAAGAAAGGCTTGAGACAAACATCATTTTTAGTGCAGAGACACTTACTGTACTCTTGGTTCCACTCCTGAAACAATAGACTCTCTTTCTAACCCCCAGACTTAACAGAATTTAATACCAGGATTCTACTGTTTGTTCAGGTAGTTGCTGAGAGAACAAAAAGTCTCATTCATACATTATCATAGCATAGCAAGGGCACCTTTTCAAACACAAAACAATTGCACACAACAATGCCATGTATAGATGTCTTGGAGTACTCAATGAAAACCTCAGCCAGCTTTTCAGGGGAAGGCCACTCATTCATTCATTCACCTACGTACTTAAAGTGACTTCGATTTGTGTGTGCGGGTGCTTCTCTTTAATCAAAATCTCAACAAGGCTGCCCATATCTCTACCACAGGTTACACAGCTCGTAAAACATTCAATAGTTTAAAAAGTTAGTGTCATACACTACATGGTTCCCCCTGAAGCGATAGCTATCTGCCCAAGCTGTTAATATAGTTTAGATGGATAGTTTAGGGATTTCCTACAAATATTTAACTGCAGTACATTATGTTTTTTAAACATACTGTAGCTGGTTAACAGTTAAACCCAATAACAGCGTTCAAATAGTGAATTTGCAACTGGCTCTATGATCTGGCCTCTTATATAGCATCAGCAGAAGTTGTTGGGAAATTTAGGTTGTTAAGGATTAAGCAAATGCTATTATGGAATCTAATTAAGAGAATATTACACAGTGATCCTCGAAAGTCCTATAATACAATATTGCATAAAAATACAATTAGGCAGTATACGTTTGGAGATTTCTTATGGTTTTTATACCAACCCAAAACACTGAAATTAAAAATATTGGCATTATTATTATACTGCTTCAGTAACTGATTTTTTTTAAAGTGGTTTTTCAGAGCTGGAGCAGAAATTGTTACTAGTCACAACACCATAGCACCCTGACTTTATAGAGCAAGAAACATTACAAGCTATAGATTCATATGAATTCTGTGAGATGGGAAGCATCCCAATGAAATTTCATGTTTGGACAGGAAGCAATCTAACAACAGAGCACATAATATGTATTTCTGCTCATCTATTGTATGAGTCTCACATTGGCTGCTTACAGCAGACAGAAACTAGTTTTAGCCAGACCTCCATGCTCATGATTCCACTATAAGATGACACATTATGTAAAGTTCTTACATTAAGTAGGTACTATAAGATCAGTCAGACATCAACATTTTTATTTTTTTTGCTTTTTGTTCTTAATTTTGCTTTTGTTTTGAAAATTCATGAGGTGTGTGAATTCTTTTAAAACTTTCAGGTTCTTATCCTACCTTCAAGAGGCCTACTGGTCGCCTACTGTAATTCAACTAGTTATTAGCTTAAGTGTACCTGACTAACAACTTTTTTCTAGTTCTTTTGATGTTGATGATTTAGGGATCTGTAAAACCTGCACATTTGCACCCATTTCAAATATAGTGGCATTAGATTATGCTAATGTTGACTATTTTAGCAGTGTATGATATTCAATAGACACTTTGAGGGTCAAACTCAACTCAGTCTGGGCCTGAAGCACTGATTGCCATTGGGTGAACAGATTGATTCTGCTAATGTCCCTAAAGGTTTAAGATTGAAATACAAAACTCATTGAAAATGATAGGATCTTTATACATCACAAACTACAGTAAATGCTAGTCTCAAGCCTGTCTAGCCATAACTGGTTTCCATCTATTCCAGAGCTTTGTGGTGTAGATGTCCTTCCTTATGTGGCTATTGAATAATGGGTTGCAATTTTAGGCCACCTAGCCCTGCCTCAAAATGGTGTTTTATTTGAAACCCAAGGAAAAATATAATATGCTACAAGTCACACTACAACAGTCATGCCCACAAGAGCATTACTAAAGCAATTCAGAAGTTCATAACTACAGCCAGGGGAAATTAAAATACAATTGCTCTCCTCTGAAGCATCATAGTTACTTCCAGTTACTGCTGTTAGCTGGTTGTTTTATATTTAGTGACATACATAGCCTGATTAATAAATTTGGTATATCTGCAGAACACTGTTTCACAGGGCTTATCAAAGCTGTCTTGTCTATCATTAACACAGAATTGATCTCCCGCCGACACACAAACCCCATCCCACATACATGGAGAGGACCGTGTCCATTCCCCTGACTGCCAGCACAGTTCCGGTAAGTGTCTTCAGTAGGGGAATAAAGAAAAACAAATAGATTGCACAAAACATCTCTGGGTTTCTAAATGGTTGTTCTGTTGTTGCTGCGTATCTTGTGTAGGCACAGTGATAGTGGCTGAAATTAAAACTCACAAAATCAGCAGATGAAACTAGGGTAAACTGCCTCCGTAAGTGAACATCTGCCCTGCTGTGGGACGACAGCAGCACTTTATAACACAGCGTTAAAGCCACAACAGAAAAGAGGTGTCTGAACTGTTTCCCTTGCATTTAATCACCTTCACCACTTCATTCAGAGAGTGCACCAGCAGTAACACTGTGAAGAGACCCTTTAATGGGTTAGTTTCATCTGATTTCTTACTTAGTTTAGATCATTGAATTTTTACAGACTGCAGCATCTGCAATTGCTTCTTTCTTTAAAATTAGAAATGTTATAAATGTGTTAGAAATGTCAGGATGATGTTACTGTACTGTTTATACATACTGTAGCTAGTCCACTTTCTTCACTTAATTATGAATTATCAGAGCAGGTTATCACATCACTGAATAGACTGCTTATCACTCCACAAATACTCATCCCTAAAAAAACAAAACGTGCTAAATAAGTCCAAGAATTGTTCATAACATGCTTGAAAATACCTATAAAATAATTTCAGCCTAATTAATGCCATTACTGTCTTTGGCCAATGCTTTTGCATTTGCAAGTATGAATTTTCACTTGCAAATCAAGCCTCCGTACTGCTTACAGATTATTGCTCATTACATCAAAAATAAGCATTAAGCAAAACAGTTATTAACAATAAAAAGAAATTACTTCAGAAGCACATGGGAGAGTATCTTAGCAATACAGCTGAACTTGATGATTGCATGTATGGACTTCTGGAGCTTCAGAATTGTATTGCTGTCTGACAAAGCAATTTGAGAAAAACACCATTCTAGTCACCCAATACATTTCATCATCCACAAGGGGAACTGACATTAATTAATTTTTAATTAATTTTCAGGCTAATCAGACAGTCCCTTCATGTGTATGAAGTCAACTTCTCTTCCCTAGCCTCTGCCTACTTTCCTGGCTCTATTTTATCAGCGACAATGACAGCACACAACTCACTTCCTCTGGAATTGCCTGTGGTCAGGGGAGCTCAGCTACCCAGTGTGGCTGACCAGAGCTACTGTAGGCCACAGGCCAGTGATGCAGTGTTTGAAGGAGTTCTCCTGAACAATTGTCATGTTCACATGCTAAAGATCCCAAAGGAACAGTTTTACTTGCATATTTTGAATACAACTTAGAACATAGTATTTTTTAATACTTATGCCTCACATTCCACATTATTGCAATTTCACAGTTTTCTATAATATTTTAACTTTCCTTTGGTAGACATTGAAAGGAGGCTTCAGGACAATTTTATACAGAGCCTTTTCTGCAGTCCTGATGCTGCTGACCTTGTCCAGGCCAGAGGCTCAGAAAGACAAATCCAGCTCAGGTGGTGTTCAGAGGGACTTTTGAAGACATTGGTTAGAAATCAGACCATCATTGAACTTTCACTTTCTTGTCACCCATTGAGAAGAAATATAGAACAGGACAGTGATATGATTTAATTATGAACACCCACAAATGCAAGTCAAGAATGTTTTTCAAATGCTATCAAAATGTTAAGAATGACCACATCACTCAAAATTACAATGGATTGCAGGCACGCTCCTCCAGTTAAGTCTCTAACTGCAGGTATTTGCTTTATGTATCAGTTTGCTGCAATCTTTTAAAAGTAACTAAAATGTTTTTCCAAATATTGTGTATACAATATTACAGCTTCCACTGGGCCTAACAGTACAAAGCAGAGGTGATCTAGAACAGAGAATTTCCCAGAAAGAGGCAATTCATTAATAGAAGGTGAGGATGCACATTTGCTGTTCATGCTTTTCTTTACATTTCAGTCCAGGGTAATGGACAGACATTGTATAGTTCAAGATACAATGATACCAGACTTCCATGAGCATAGAAGTCCAAAACTTGAGCAACTCTCATACCACGAGTGGATCTGTCACAACAGTGGCTCCGAAAGAGTATACATCAATCACCGGGAGCATTATGTGTGAAGACCAAGGAAGATGTTCCTACAGTGGACATTCAGCAGAGAGAATCAGATGGGAAAGAACAGGAAAATGCCATTATTTGACCTGTGACTTTCACAGTGAAGGCTCAGTACAGGGTACAGGTGTTAGCCTAGATGAGTTTCAGAATTAGATGTTAAGTTCTAGAGTGTACTGTAAAACGTAACTCTTTTATTTTTGTAATGACACAATAAGAACTGCCAATTCAACTGAAGCTTTGTACATATTTTATATTTTTTCATTTTAGTTTTTTTCTTCAGTCATGTAAATATGTTTTAGACTTTAAAAACCTTTACATTGTTTAGGAAGCTTAGAACACAGAATATTTTACCATGTTTTTTACTGTGCCCAAAGTAGATTATAATGTTTCAGACAGAATTCTGCAACCAAAGCAACAATTCAATAAAAAAATGGAGGATGACAACAAACCTTGATCTGTCTTTGAAAGCTTAATGTGAATCCATAGGGTCTGGCTTGTCAGCTTGTTGTTGTTCACTAGGATCTCTTCAAGATGAAAAATAAGAAATCAGTTTGTTCCACGGTGAAGGTGTTTGTGCAGTGCCTTATAGCTTGACTCCAGAATAGCTCATAACTGCAAAACCAAGGAGCTCTGTCATAATAAAATGAATGACCTTTGCATAACTGTAGCAAAATACTAAGCACGAGCACATCCATACATCTGGGCCCTTTGCAGAATTTAGAGTCTGGAGCAGAGAGTCATGCAGAAGGTCACTGTTTGTACCATGAAACATTAAAATGTTGAGGGGGGAATTATGTTTTGAAATGGCAGGGTCCAGTATCCTCATTGGAAGATACTACATCCATTTTAATAACAATGCACATATTAGATTTTTAAATAAAATAATAACAGTATTCAAGGAGCCAGTATCTTGGTGAATATATATCCCTAGTTTTACTGTCTTCTTTTGGGACAGGTTTTTATATGACAGGTAATGGAGGTACAGCTTTGAATTCAGGTGTGTGTGGCTCCCTTTCTTAGTAACACCATCATTCATGTTATATAATTTTATGGACGTGGTGTACTTTTTGGGTGTCAGTGGAATGTAGTGTAGCTTGTTGAACGACATTGACTCTGTAAGGTCTGAAGAACACTGAAACGCAGAATGGGAACTGCAGGATAAAGAGAAGGGAAGGAGGGTGATAAGGTATTTCTATTCTAATTTTACACTATTGCTATTGTATGTTGATGTGATTTTCTTCATCTGTTTTTGTAAATGAGCTTTGGAATCCAGGGAACATAATTTCTGAACAGTTAATGATGTCCGCTGTTAACTGTGGCAATTTCATAGAATTATAGCTTAATTAAATGTGGTATAAGGAAATGGTAATAAAACTAAATCAGTCAGTCAATTGTCATTATTATCAAGTGTAAACATGGTTATGACTAGATACTTAAAGAGTGATTGAAATGGCTTCTTGGTACACACACATGCAGAATAGATTTACTGAATTTTCAGTACAGGAAAATTAAGCAACTTATTTTTCCTTCAAACAAAACCTCTGAGAAACTTTTGTCAGTTCACTGTAGGTGGTACAATATACAGATATCACTCTATTCATAAAATTCTCTTTTAAACGATGCCAGGAAGTCTTTTCTCTATTCAGACTTACCTCTGGCTTTCTGGTATAGAGGATTAGGCCCTCTTGTTTGCCATGTGTGATTGTACAGTAGCATCAGTCTAAGACTTAAACTCCTGCTTCTTTGGAATTTAGTTTTTTTTCTTGTAACCTGCCTTAAGATCAATCTTTATTACAAATGCTACATAAACAAAAAGGTATTATAAACTACAAAACTGCATAAAATATGTAAAACATAAAATATATTGTGTTGTTTTATATATGTCGTACATGAAAAGTTACATGTAAGACAAGGCTATTCACGTGTTTTAGAAAGCTGATGGCAACGATTTAAAAAGAGAACCTCGTATTTTCACATCTTTTCTAACAAAAGAATTGGTATGTTGTTGATTGTTTCTTAATTTGAAATTTGTCCATTGAGTTTTATTTCTTCCAAATAGAAATTGCCAAAGCTCAAAAAGCTTTGTTGAGCCATCTGTTGTTTTCACACTTTGAGATTAAAGCTGCTCACAAGCATAGTTAATTTCACTTGATGGAATGATCTAGTCCTCATCATTACTATCATATTATTCACTTAACAAATAGTCTTATCCAGGATGACTTACACAGGATACACATTCTGCGAGGCACTTAAAACACAGTGTCATCTGCTTATGTGATCATGCAGTAAATCATATGATTTTTGTTGTCAATCTGAATGTAAAAGGTTTTTTTCAGTTCTTTAACTGCCTTGAAGACAGATGGACATAAAGCACAGCAGTTCACAAATTGCATAGATTGCCATTGTTTGGGAACATCATGATTCATATGTCGACACTGTAATAACAATACTCTAGGGACAAGACCTATTATTTCACTTAAAATTAATTATTTAAGATTTCTAACAATCGTTGTGTGCCTTGACCAAGCAGTTGGTGCCTTTCTCTAAATGCAGAGGAACGTGGCTAAAGAGGCCCATCTGATTAGAGACATTGTAAAGCTGAATCAATGCTGTACATTTAATTACATATAACACAGATGGACTCCAACAAGTCTCAAGGTTTCTTCCCAAAACCATAGATCAATTGTCACTATCCATCACCCAAGGGAAGTTCCACACCAGTTCCCCAACTGGGGATCTGTAGTGTGTGTACTAGATGTACTGTATGCTGATAGCATCTCAGCCAATCACCAAGTAGTGATGTCATACAGTACCTTAAAAGCAAGAACACAACACATTTTCACCAGTTAATGCACAGACTTGAAAACTCTCTCAATGTAAACTGGCAAACTGACCTTTACAACCACATGACTGCTAGCAGTCCAAAACAGGTCTTAAACATTTCTCCAAGAAGCCTGTCAGAGAGAGGAAGTCAGTAAAGTATAGAATTCCAACATATGTTTCCTGAAACAGAAGAAATCCTGTGTTTGTGAACAAACTGTTATTTTTGCCTGATCAACAAACTTAGAAAGCTGGTCTCTTTGTTGACATCCAGAATATTTGTGCATATATTAAAACTATAGTTGTAACAAACTGAGTTCCCTTGTCTACTTTGTGGCTGGACCCCAAGAAGAAAAACTGTTCACAGACTGAAAGACTGAAGTCTGCATGACAGTACTGCAGCAGGGCTGCCTGAACTACGACACAAGGCAAGAAAAAGCTTTCTCTCTCCTGTCTCCACCAGGACCCTCCCACCACAGAGACACTGCCACAGATAAATCCAGCCCAGCTCCGTCTGTCAGGGCAAAGTTTAAATTCATCAAGGATGTTTGGATAATGGATCTTTGAGTAGAAAACTTCATTATTTGCAGCTTAATTCTCTAGAGGTCACCATTCATATCAACAGATAATTTTGTTGCTTGTTATGCATGTTTTGGTTATATCAATACAGTAAATTGTATATTGATTATTTAGAATCAATGTGTAATATTATACATTAATATGTTTGATTGGCTCCTAAAAGTCATTGAGTACTCTCTTAATTTACTGTTAAAATGTATGATTATTAGAGCAAATTAAAACCCCCATCTCCTATAATAGAGTACCATCCATCCATTTTTCATCCATCGTCTAACTGCTATTTCCAATTCAGGGTTGCAGGGTTGCTGGTGCCTATCCCGGCAAGAAACAGCTGCAAGGCAGAATATACCCTGGAACGAACACACAGACACAAGTAGATTTACAGGGAAAACTGTTCATTCCTGTCTCCTTAGTTGAGTAAACAAACTTTTGAGGTTAAGCTATTGATGCCTACTAAATTTTGAAGGAACCTAAACAATTGGATCATTTCTTACTGCTGTCCCAGAAACAGATTTTAAGAAATCGCCATTTTAACTACACTAAGCAACAAAGCCAATGTAAAAGTTTGCAAAAACATCCCACATGGAAACAGGGTTCAGACACCTAAAGTTATCTGCTATTTAAATCTAATAAATATATTTTGGATTAAACTACTGCTTTCCAATCATGGGCCTGAAATCCTCCTCTGTCTTGTTGCTTTATTCCAGCCAAGTCTTAATTACTGCAGCAAACTAATCACCTTTATTGATCTATTTGCTTGATTATGCTTTTCTTAGGTTTTCAGCTTTCGGGAAATTGCAAAAGACTGGAAATTACCATCATGCAGGTGTCTGGAAACTACACAGCTGGACCTATGCAAAACTAAGAATGATTATTCTAGGAGTGTTTGATACAGTGTATCTCCCAGTACATCATTAATTGTTAACCTATTAAGAGACATTTAGGCTGCTACAGGGAAGAAATAATTCATTATAAAACATTACAAAACAGACTAAACTACTCCTTTCCAGTCCTGGGCCAGAAAGCCTCCTCTGTCTTATTGTTTTGTTCTAGCCAAGTCTTAATTACTACAGCATACTGAACCCCTTAATGGATCTATTTGCTTGATTATGCCTTTCTTAGGTTTTCAGCTCTCACGAATTTGCATGAGAATGGAAATTCATAATAAACTGTCTGTTGTAGTAGGTAATGAACAGGTGTCTGGAAACTACGCAGAAGGACCTGTGCAAATCTAAAACTAAAAACGCTTATTCTAAGAGTTTAAGAGTAATTTAGGCTGCTACAAGGAAGCATGAATTTGTTTAAAAAATTGAGCAAGTTCTTTAAAGTATTTTGGCATGTGTACACCTAAAGCAAGGTATTACCAAAACAAGGATTAAACACAGAAAACCCTTTAAAAGAGCTGAATAAGTAACACTTCAGCTTGTCTTTGTGATTAAGTATTCAGCTGCAACATAAAACAGAAGACATGGGATCCAACTGAAACTTCAACCTAAATGTAAAGTTTTAATAGTTAATGGCAAGCTTCCATGTGGTAGAAAGGAGAGACACCGCTGGCAGGGTCTGAGCCTGGAATTGGGGTTGAGCTAAAGGATTAAAGTTTTTAATTACTGGAGTCGAGAGAGGACTTAGGACTGGGCTCTAGAGGTTAGTTTTATTTTACATTTCAATGCAAATTTCACCATTGAGACCATATCCATGGTGACAGAAGCTCACTTTTGCTGAAGTTGGAAGCTTCCAAAACTAGCAATTTTAAATGAAAGGAGTAAAGCTCTTGTTTACCACATGACACATGATGAAGCATCTCTTAAAGAGAACAAAGAGAGCACAAAGGAATGTGAAACTCAATTACAATTCTGTCCTAGTCTTAAGTTAACTTGAGTTTGAAGAGTCACTTTGCCAGCCCAGTAACTCTGAGATATCAGAGGGAACAGGGTAAATCTGGGGTGGCAGAGCTAAACATTAGGTCAGAACTCTGAACTCCAAACTACAGAGTCACACAGGGCTTGGGGACACTTCTGTACCCATGGACAAGGTATCTGAGTACCTAGGTATCTAGAAATATGTGTAAACTGCAGTATCATCCGTGTCAAGATTTTTATACAGGCACATAGTTGGGCGACATGTGCAGTGGTTAATATTGCTGCCTTGTTTGCCTTGGGTTCAATTCTCCTGTATGCGTGGGTTTCCTCTGGGTGTTCCGGGCTCCAATGACATACTGGTAATTTACTTGGCTGTTGGGAAAACTGGCCCTGGTGTGAATGTGTGCGTGTTTGTGTCTGTTTGTGTCATCACTCTGTGATGGACTGGTGTCCTGTCCAGGGTATACCCTGCCTTGCATCCATTGCTTGCAGCCTCTGGCTCCCCCATGACAAAGTGGTTAGAAAATGGATGGGTGGATATACACACAGTTTATACGCAGTTTGTAAGCTTTGAATAAAAGCATCAGCTCCGATAATATAATACAAAAGCTGGCACAATAATTGAATCAAAGGTGAAATACTAACCACTGGACAAAAGGGAAACTAAGGGGAAACATGCATTTAACTGATAACAGGAGATTTTTCTTTGCACAAATGATTGTAAGAATATGGAACAAGAAACTGAGCCATGTTGTTGAACCTGATACCCTGGTGCCTTACCAGAAATGGCTGGATAAGATCTTTGGATCAATTAGCTATGAAAAAAAAAAGAAAAAGCTGACCTAATGGCCTCCTTTCATTTGTAATTTTTTTGTTTTTAAATCTCAACACAGCAAGACCTTTATGTAACTGAGATTAAATGCCGTGGTCATAGAAAGTAATTGGACCTGACTGGCAGAGTTAAGCGGTTTGTCTGATTATTTGCAGTAACCGGTATTACACACACAGAGCAGAGAACAATGCTTTAGTAATTAAGTCAGGCATCCCTAACTGTCACACTAATGGACTGAAATTGAGTTACCTGCCTGAACTATGATTTTGTTTCATCTCCCAACAGGTAGCAGATTTTGTATTGTGTGCAGGGCTTCTGGTGATCAGATGTTTTTATAATCAAATTATTCACAATTAGCTTACATGACTAGTGCAGAAGTTCTATGAGATAAATGGATTTTTCTCCCATATTGTGGTTTTGTGAATATCAAAATCATGTGTGCTCTTGTCATTTTGCCGAACCTGATACCCTTTGACTCATAATTTTTTAAGTTTATTTTAGAGTAATACAATATTAAGAGCAATTAATAAAGTTCATGCTTTTCAGTATTTGGAAAACGTTTTTTGTAAGTCTTATATGTTTTAAAATACAGTATGTGGTTTATTTAGTGCCAACAGCACAGCTATATTGAATATACATTTAGTATAACTGATATAGAAAACATACTTATTTCAAAAGCATATACTGTATCTAAGGGGAAAAGAACTTTGGAAAATTATGATTTTTTAGATATGGTAAAAGACTTTCAAGACTGAATATACATTTCCATTCCCAAAAGCTTTTCTTACTTTACAACGTGAACTCCAGCTTAAGCCACTTATCCCTTACGGGTTGAAGGTTTGATGATTTGAAGCTTTGTTGAAGGTGCCTGGCTCATAGACAGCTCATCTGAAGACAATGTACTTTTCCACCCTTTATTCTCACAATCCAATGTAACTAATCTACATGTTTTACTCATTTTAGACTATTTTTCTGTATCTTAAAGGAGACTGAAGACCACCATCCTGTTTTAACCCTAAAACTCTCATCGTGAGCTAATGAGACAATTAGAACAAAACATTAGTGCTCAATGAAGACAACATTCTCGGGGGAATTTATATCAAAGATCTTTTGCTGTTTGGTCATCTGACCTTACTAAAGATGTACAGTGCTTTACTGTAATAAATACTATACATATACACATATAGAGTAGGAAAATATACATACAGAATACTTCAGAATTCTAACCATAATTGGTGTTTGGCACATACAGTATATTGAAGCATTTTGAAATGAGTTCATTCAAAAACTACGGAGAAAACTAAACTAACAATAGGGGAAAAAACAACCTTCTTCTATCACATAAGCACTAAATTACCAAAATGGAAATCCTAACACTAGTAAAAACATTAGGCAAACACAGAAACACCTACTGTATAATATCCATTGTGGTAATGTAAAAGTTTCAACCATGTCAATGCAATTACAGCTTCATATTTAAAAATATGGCAATCTTATGAAACATTTGCTTCCACAAAATCTTGATATTAGATCCAGTATAATATACCACCCGAATCAGTGTTTCTCTTGTGCTCTGAAGAATTTATGAATCATAGTGCTGAACAGCTTTATGGCTTATACAGTATGCTCATCCTTCAGTTTCTCACCTTTCATCATAGAACGTCAATGGTTTTGCTATCAGCCAGGTTTGGGGGGGGAGGGGGGGTGTAGCCGCCACTTCCCTGTTAGTTGGATCTGATGGTGGGGTGGAGGAAGTACAAGTGAACACACAGAAAGAGCGCAATGACTGAGGTAAGTTGCCATCAGCAAGATGTGGATTGCTTATCAATTATCAACCTGATATTGGCTACTCAAGGCAAACAGATACTGTTTGAGCCGTGGTCAGCTGCTGAACCTTCCCTGTGAAGACATTGTATAAGGTTTCTTGAAGTGTATTCTGTGAGTTAAGTCATTATTATGAGACATGTTGCTAAACATTTAGAAACTGAATTATCTTCTTTCAAAAGTCTTCATTGAGTCTTAAGCAGTG